AAATCATAGAAGCTGCATTTTGAAAAAGGATTTGAGCTTCGTATGGGGTGTAAAGCTGACTTTTTTTCATTTACTTATCTAGGCATGACGCTTGGAGGAATTCCCACGTCCCTCCATCCCCTGTTTCCCATATGATTGAAAAAATTCTTGTGAGATTAAGCAAATGAAAAGGCTCACCTATATTTGAAGGTGGTAACCTTCTCACGACTAGTCTTGGGAACCTTTCCTCATATTTCCTACCTTTCTTCTTATCCCATTAAATATAACTAAAACCTCAATATTAATCACCTCCCATTTGCAGATCACACCATTCTTTTTCTACCACAAAGGAAGGTAAGGTTGTTAATTGTGTCAATATTTTAAAATCTTTTGAACTTTTTTCCATGTCTGAATTTAGTCTAACAATAAGATGTCAGGAGTCAACTATGACGATTGGTTAGGCCAATTTTTAGTCTCCCTTAGGTCGTCCTGTAACTGGGAACTCAAAGTGTCTCGACTTTTAGACTCTAGTTAGTGAAAAAATTCAATTCAAGCTTTAGTATTGGAGGAGATTGGTCCTCTCTCATTCAAGCCTTCTTGGCAAATATTCTGTCGGACAAAGTGTTCAGTGCAGGAAGTGAATGAGTTCTGTATCCCACTGAAAGCTAAACTCTTAGCAGTTTCCCCCTAAAATTGCATATAAGATCTATGCCTTGCTGTTAAAATTGCACATAAAATCTTCTGAATGTTTGAAGTGAAAGAAGGTTTTAAGGGTTTCTATTTTCTTCAAAGCAATATGGTCTTTCTGACTTTTGTCAGCAGTTTGCAATGCTTCAATGCCACTTTTGCAGTACTTTATGTCGTCCCTATTAGTTAGCTTTTCTTTTGTAAATATGTTTCTTTATTGATTTTGTTTTAATGTAAATAGAAAGGGATATGAAATTACAAGAGATAGCTCTTTTTCATTCTCCATCTTGTACAATTTATAATTTTATTATCTTCTTGGTCACCTGAAGTTTTGATATATCTTTGTTTGTACCTTTAGGACCAAGGGAATTGACTGGTGCCGTGGATCTAATAAGTCACTACAAACTGTTACCTCACCATGAGTTTTTCTGCAAGAAGTCACTTCCATTATCAATTTCAGATACACATTATCTTCATAACGTGGTTGGAGACACAGAAATTAGAAAAGGAGAAGGGATGCAATTGAATCAACTCATCCAGAATACTTCTTACCCTAGAGAGACTAATGCCCGCATACAGCCATTTGACCAAGATATTCTCATAGAAGCCTTCCAACTGAGGGAAACTGGTCCTGTTGATCTGCCTCCTGTAAGAATTCTATTATTAAAATGGTTAAAATCAGCCCCTTTTTTCCATTAGCTGGAACTTAGATGTCACCAAGGGATTGGGTCCGATTATCAGCATTTCTCATTGTGATTCTTTTCTCTTCAACTGATGGCTCATTTATTTTTCTTTGGTAAGGCCGAGAAAGGTGTTCCAACTATTCCAGGGAAGTCAAAAAGTGAGTCCAAAGATAAGGAAAGAAAGCATAAGAAGCATAAAGACAGGGATAAGGAGAAGGATAGAGAGCATAAGAAGCACAAGCATCGTCATAAAGACCGAAGTAAGGATAAAGACAAGGATAAGAAGAGAGACAAAAGTGCCCATCACGAATCTGGTGCTGACCATTCAAAGAAGCATCATGAAAAGGTTGGACAACCTATACTCTTCTGCAGCTCCTTTGTAACTACTAAGATTAGAGAAAAATGGGATGGTTCAGGAGTAGGTTGTCATTGACCTTATGAACCTTTTAGTCTAGTTTATTATTGCAAGATTACATTTCTTGAAGCGCTTCCCTTTCATTGGCTTTTTTTCATTTGACCTGGATTATCGACTCCATAGCATGCTGTGAGGGCGGGAATTAAAAAGGATAAATGAGGGAATTATGAATGGCAATTATTGGTTTGTTTTGTTTCGTATTTTCTCCACTAAAAATTAAGGATTAAGTAATCTATTTGTGTTTTACCACCAAACTAATATACAATTTTTTGTGCATATAGCCCAAATGAGCTAATTATTAATTTCTAATTTCAGAAAAGGAAGCATGACGGAGAGGATGATATTAATGACATTCATAGGCACAAAAAAAGTAAGGTAATGCAAAGTCAAAATCTTTTTCAGCTGTAGATTGCATGCTTACTGTAAAGAACAATCATCCGGGTTAACTTTTATTTTATCTTTCCAATTGGTATTGTTTCCAACTGACAGTCTTCTGCATCTAATTTCTGCAGCATAAGACCTCAAAAATTGAAGAAATGGGAGTGATAAAGGTAGCGGGCTGACATTGTGGAATAATCTAGGTCATTTATTTCCTCGTATGGTTGTAGAAAGATTGGTGGAATTTTCACTTAATGTTGTCAAAAAATACTTGAGGTATATTTATATCTTTCAAGTAAATTCTATATTCAATTGTTCTTCATATGATTACATTTCTTTTCATTCATGCTTTTTTCCCATCTTTTTCATCAGAACAAGAAACAATATTTTTTTTATATTTTATTTTTATTTTTATTTTTTTTAAGATTCGAACTTCTCATTAATATAATGAAAAACAAATACAATGTCCAAGAGATACAAACTCTAAAGGGGCTTTTCTTCCTTTTCATTAGAACAAGAAACACGCTTATCTTCCTTTTCTATGAAAAGAAACAAGCTCCCATTGATAGTTGAAAAGGTACACCATAAAAATTATTGCTTCCGTAAGATTATCCAGAGGAGCATTGACATCCAACTATCACTTAATTTACAATAGGAAAATCTAAACCAAAACCTTCCCATTAAGAGTTTACAAAATGAAATCTCAACTATAACGAACTACATTAGGAGTATAACTTCAAAATGTACTAGACTAGGTACATCAAGAAGAGGCTTGAACTTGGCAATGCCCATCCTCTCCTGCGCTCCATGGGATTGTGTCCAAACTGATGGGACAGGACATTAAGTTTGAAATTATTTAAAAATTTTGGGCGGCCTAATGGTCGGCTGGTAGTGGATTGAAACTCATTGAATGTGCAATTGGAGTAATTTATAGCCAACATTCAAGAAAAGGAGGTTACGGATCTGATAAGAAAGGAAGTATGAATGAGGTGGGCGTGGGAGTGGGAGTGGGAAGTACTAGAGAAGCTCTAAAAGAGAGAGCTGATTTTCATGAGAGAGAAAGTTTGAAGGAGGTCTGAAAGGGATACACAGCTCAGTGCTATGAAGATAATTTATTTGCTTCAAAAAGATTTCTAAAGGGGTAGTGAAGTCAATTTAATCTTTATTAGTTTAGATAGTTATGACATTTGTATAAGTAGTTAGGAGGATTTATTTTGGTTCCTGAATTTTTGAGGTAGTAAGGAAAGGAAAAAGAAGAAAAAGAGGAAATTTTGAACATCAATATCCCGAATTTTTTGGCAGAAGTCAACTTGGCGTAAGTGCAATCCAGCGGATACTTTGATCAAGAACCAAGATGGAAACTCGCATGATTTTGGAAAATGGAACTTTTACTGAAAGTTGAGAGGCCAATAGGCAACAACCTAAAGGCAGGGTCCCCCCACCAGAAAAAAGGAAACAAAAAAAAAGAAAACCTTCCAGTTTCTGATTATCATGGAAGGTCTTGGGTAAAAAAGAAATCTTTGTGATTTGCTTTTGCATTTTGCACTCTACTAGGAAGCCAAAGCCAAGTGATGTTTATTGATAGAAGAATCAATTGAACAATTTTTATCATAAAAAATTCTATAGTTTCTCTCTTTCCAAATAAGCCAAAAGGTGGATGGCACAAAACCAAAGAATCTTAGGTCTCCTGAAATTTAGTCCCTGCAGCCCCTTTATAAACCAGTCATCCACTCTGTTTGGGAGACGTAAAGACAGCCCCATCTCGTTCAGAATAAAACACAAACCTCTATAGGGAAAAGGGCAGTGGAGAAACAAGTGGGACACTCCTCTATCCTAATACAAAGGTTGCATACGGAAGGGGAATTGGGGAACCTTCTCTGAAGCCTATCAGCAGTATTAAGACCCCTGTACATTATGGACATTGAGAAGATTTTAACCATTTTCTTTCGGGTGTGCTTCATATTAACCCATGGAAACTCGGATGATGGAAACACAAAAATAATTTCTTTTATCGTGGTTGAGGATTTTGACGACTAGTGTGCTGAGAACTCAAATAGGGAGGTAAAGGCCTCCTGCACACGTACTTATCATATTTTCCCTAAGGAGTAACCCTTGGGGCTTCTTGGTTATACCGGCTTAGAGGTCTCAAGTTCAAACTTTCGGGTGTGCTTGATACAAAAAAACCTTGATGTCTTCTAGGTTCGAGCCTTGGGGTGGGTGTAGGTGCCTCCAGATATAGGGAAGCAAAGCTCTGATTCTCGAGTATTAAAAAAAGTATTTGTCATATTTATTGTAAACATCCAATAAAATGTGATAAAATTTTTGCACATAGCTTTGATTCTCCTTTAGCATGCTTGGAAAGGATACCCTCCCCTTCTCTTGAGCTAATCAATCTCATTCTCGTAAATGAAGATCAAGAAGTATTTGATCAAAGCTATCTTTCCACACCCATTCCCTTTCCCTGCCACCTCCGTCATTGAAAAAATCCCACACCAGCAGGGACTTCTAAATCTTCGTTTTAACCATTTGTTGTTAGGCTCATAATTTCTGTAGAACGTGTTAATTCTTTGAATCCAAAGATTTCACCCTCAAACTTTGTTTCTTGTTTTTATATGAGAAATAGAACCCATGTATTAAACAAACAAAAACATCCTAAGTGTGGGGGATTAGAAATCCCCCGCCACATGAAAAACTAAAGAAGCAGCTTACCAATCATGGATAAGAATCAAAAGACTGTAGTTACAAAAAAAAATTCTATGGTTTAAGCACCAAGTTGGAGTGTGATCTGTACACAATTACAAAAAAAATAAAAGGAATGAAGCCTGTTGTTTAAAACCCGACTATTATTTTTCTTCTTTCCAAATGCACCAAAAAATGGCTCTAACTTCACAACCCCAAAGGACTTTGGCTTTCCCTTTGGAGAACCCTCCTGAAGGGCCTTGAGAAGTGAATCTTCCACAGCTCTAGGCATACAGCTGGCAAAATCCAACTCTTTGAACAAAAAGGACCAGAAATCTGAAGCTGTTGGGCAGTGTAAGAAAAGGTGATCAAGGCTTTCCGATGCTTGGTAACAATAGCTACCCACCGAGGGCCAAAAACACCAATTAGGAAGCTTTTTTGACGGGTCTCGTGAGTGTTGAGATTTCTGCAGGCTAAACCCCATAAAAAAACTTTTACTTCCTTCGGGCAATTAAACTTCCAAATCGAATTTATCCGGGAAGCTTTAATCTAGGGTGGGCTTTCGAGAACAAGGATTTGGTAGAGGAAGTCTGCCTACTCTCAAGGTTCCTGAAGATCTTATCCTCCCATCTTTTCTAAAAGAATTCAGTAACTCCAATACCATCTCATTGTCCTGAAAGCCCCTTTTGAAGGTCAAGTTCCAATCATAAAAGTCGTCAACCCAACAATTAGCCACAGTAGTATCCTTGGGAGAAATACTGAGCAAATTTGAAAAAAGAAATTCCATCGGACTGTTTTTGCCAAATGTCTTTCCAAAATCTAATCCTTTGTTCATTAACAGCTTCAAACCGGACAAAACTAAGAAAGAGACACTGAATTTTGCTGTTTCAAACCAAGGCCTCCCATAAGCTTTACCTTTAGGAGGGAGGGACAACCATCCGAAACGCTCCTCTTCATAGATGCTAGCTCTAGTTCGCCTTCATAGAGCAAAATTTTCAGTTGAAATCCTCCAAAGTCACTTGTGAAGTCAGGCTTCATTTCTTTGCTTAAATCTTCCAAGACCCAAACCACCCTAGGCCTTAGGCAAGGAGGAGGTTGCCCATTTACCTAAATGTCTTTGTGAATGAGACACACCCCCACTCCAGAAAAGGACCAGATTAATTTTTCCATCTCATTCACAACCTTGGCCGGAGCTTTTACTGGAGCTTTGGATAAGGACAAGGCATAGAAACGGCAAGATTCAATCTACCCTTTTTGATATCAAGAGATATTTCTATCTATCAAGTTTCTTCTTGAACTTATCAACAATTGAGTCCCAGTAAGAAGCCTTTCTACAGTTACCTCCCAAAGAAGCCTCCAAAAAGTTAAAAGGAAGGCCTTCGACTTTGCAGCCAAGGGAAGAGGCACAACTCTGAAGTTGAGAGTGGTCTGTGTTGATACCCACCAAAGAAGACTTCCCAATATCCAATGAAAGGCCCAAACCTTGGAGAAAAAAAGTTGAGACCACCCGCGATCTATGAAGGTCTCTCTTGGTGTTCTTGCAAAAAATTAATGTATCATCGACCTATTGAAGATGGGAGACTTGACAGCTTTGGCCCCCATGCTAACACCCTCTAGTGAACCTTCTCCCATAGCAAAAATGAACGGAACGCCTAAGAGAATCCCCCAAAATGGTGAAGAGAAAAGGGGAGAGGGGGTACCACAGCATTTAAAATTGGAAAAGGTATCATTAACCAAGTCGATACCATAGGTTCAATGGACAATTCTAGGAGTTAGAGTTCAAACCTTCCTTTGTCATCTCTATTTGAAACATACTTTTGTCTTCTTACAACAAACTAGCATCATCTGTGGCCACGAGTGACTTGCAATACCCTAACTGAAGATATGAAATGGAATCGAGAAGGACAAGGGAGGGTGAGAGAGACCAGGATGATGAAAGAGACGGCGGACCTATTTCAGAGATAAAAATTTATTGAGACAATTTTATTTTATTTTTCTTTTACTTTTAAATGACCTTGATTTTGTATTGATATATTTTTGGAAAATTTGACTCTAGACCTGTTTAATTAGCCTAGGATGTTGAAATGTGTTTATGCTCTTTTATAGCTTCCTTTGGGTCTGAATTTGGAAATATAATTTTTTTTACATAATTTTGGGTGACTTGGTAGGTACTGGGTGATTGTCTTTCATTATTATTTTCTTCCTTTTGTTGGGTTGCTGATGGTTTAAGGATTGATCCTCTCTTATGATGAACTTTGAAATAAAATAGAAAGGATAAGAGAAAAAAAAGCTTAAGCATGTGTATTAATTGAATGCAAAATCAGAGTTAGATTTATCCATTCATTTCATGCATATTTTAAGTTTATGCCATCCAGTATGATTGCATCTTAATTGGTCCTTCCCAGTCCTTTTTGTGTTCTGCAATTCAATCAAGTACAACTGCCTGCTGGTAGTTATTTTAGTCGGTCTTGGCAAGGTTTTGCTTCATTTGAGTATCTTTTGAAGCACTTCTATTGTATGTTTGATTTCTTTTTGTCACCTGTAGCAGTTTGGTTTTTTTTTAATGCATGTTGTGATGTCCATGAAAAGTTAGTAGGCCATTTATGTCAAGAAATTTGGGGTCTGGTCTGCTCGAATCAGCTAATCGTGTCTGAGTCAATTTATGTCAAGAAAAGTAAATCTGCTCTTCTCAACCTTTATTTGTAGGGAAGCTAAATCCTTCTCGGTTGGGACATGCAGAAACTGCCCATTATATAGTATCTATCTTCTCCATTTGGTATAATGCATGCCTTAGAGATGGTAGCCTAGCTGAGCTTTAATGATTTTCTTATGCTATGGACCCTTTTGAGTTCCGAGTGTATGATAGTTTTTGCTTTCTTCATGCAGAGTAGCTTCTGACGAGGGTGAGTTTACCAGTTTTAGGATACGTGGAAGCAAATGTAAAAAAAAAAAAACAAAAAAAAATGGTGGAAATGAACCTTTGTATCATAACAATGGGTCTGATATATAAATATGAGCGATTTGCAGGACTGATTGTTTTCCTCAGTTTTCTGTATGGTGTTCATTGGATTGGATACCTCCACATGTAATATTATATTCTTCTTCTTTTCATTTCGTAGACTCGTTTCGAGTTGTAGTCTGAAGTAGTAGCATTTCTTCGTCTTCGGTATTTCGAAGGAAGGTAGAAGGCCAGAAACTCTCTCCCTCTCTCACATTCTCCCTCTCTCTCTTTCCCTGCCCTTTCCCATCGTGTTTCTTTTACCGTCTTCTTTTCGAACTCTCGGGATGTATACAACTAATCAGTCAGGATATGTATTTTTTTTAATGGTGATATCAAAGGGGCATATGTATAGAAAATGGACTTTGATTATTTATTTTTCACTCTTTTGGGCTCATACATGAGTGTTGAAGTGAGATGGTTTTTCAGAGATGAGAATTGAGCATGGTTTGCCTTTTTTTTTTTTCACTTATTTTCAGGTCTCTGTAATTGTTCCATGTCCTATTTGACCATATAATATACTAACATTTTACTAGTCTTTAAGCAAATTCTATGCGATTTTCTTTGAATTATGTGTAAATGTGAATGTGTAGTGTTAGAGAATGGTGTTTTATTTATTCTTATGGTTATTTTTGTTTCTATTAACGAATCTTTATTGGACACCAATAATTCCTCGATTTTTCGCATATGTTATTTCATCTTATCCCTTCTTTTTCTTTGGGTAATTTGACCAAAAACAATGGGAAGAGAATTGAGGGCAAACTAATTGAGATATCAAAGGTTTGTATATAAAAAGTAACTAATCAAGTATCGTTTAAGAGTTATATGATGAAATAATAAATAATTAATGATAATCTTACATTTATTTCAAACTCACGATATGTTTTGAGGGTTTGTCAAATAAAAATAAAGTTAAAATCATATTTTGGTCTCAGTCATTTTAGTTTTTGTTCATTTTAGTTTATGTATTTTTAAAATATTCGTTTTGGTCCTTTATTTGTAAAATTTAGCACAAATTCTACACATGGAAATGATTTCATATAAAGTCAGGAGTGTAACGTCTACATTGAAAATCTGTGCAACGTAAATATACTTGTTCGTAGGTATCTCACATGATCGAAATTGTGCAAATTTTGATGAAACTAGATAAACTAAACTATGTACGAAATGGACGAAACAAATACCTCTAACAATTACTACCTTAAGTATGTATGTAAATTTGATCATAAAATATATATCAAATATATATCAAATGTATATATAATTCATACCTCCATGTACACAATAATGAATTATATGATATATATCCTATATCAAAATGAGAAACTCAAACAACTAAAATTAAATTGTCGTCAAAGCGAGCATTGTTCTGCAATAATGACATATATTTCTAACTAAGAGATTGAGAACTCGATCTACCACCCCAACATGTTGTATTCAAAAAAGAAAAAAAATCGTCCTTTTAACTCACTAGACTAAATGACAACCACTGGCTTTCAATTTTAAGTTTCTTTTTATTGCAAATATGGGAGAGTGGGATATATTTTTGTAATTTTTTCCCCTCACAAATCTCAAATAACAAAGATGGTAAAGAGGACAAAACAAGGAAGGAAATCTTGAATACAATGTTTACGATTTTTTTTTCATAATTGAAATAAGTATTTTCCTTTCTTCTTCTTTTTATTTTTTTTAATTTTATTTTTCTAAATGTTTAACAAACAAAGGACAAAAATTGTAAATTTAATAGTATTAGAAATCTCAATATTTCTTTGAGTACGGATGTAAAAAGATAGAAAAACCTTTACCATTGTAATAAATATGATTTTAACTTAGTGGTAATTGATATTTGACTCGTTGATTAAAAGGTATGAGTTTGAATTCCCTTATCCACTCGTTGGAGTAAAAGAAATTTTCTTTAAAAATAGGTCATCCATGTTAATTTATTTTACTTTTTTTTTTAAAAAAATATAAAGGCATCTATATTGTTATCCCTAGAAAAATAATAAACATGTATTTATGCCAGCTTTGACTTATCTCAAATAGGGTGATTTAGCCCAACAATAAATACAATGGACCCTTATTCATAAAGCTTCAACCTTATCTTAAAAAGAATATAGAATATAGCAAAAGGCATATTCGACCCAAAATTAAAGTTCAAGAAATATTAGACCCTCTTGAATTTTAAGAACATAGCTATATGGTAGATAACATACGTATAGTTTTTCAACTATTAGATCCAAAACTAAAAGTTTAAACTCATATCCGAGATACTAAAGTAATCGATACCTTATACAAAATTATAAGTTATCGAATTGTATATTTAATATTTTTGTCATAGTTAACATTTTAAATGTTGATGTCGATAGAAATTGAGATCTCAATTTTATGAAAATGTTGATAGAGATATCGATAAAATGTGACTGTGGAGGAATATTTTCGAAAAATTATAAAATAAAAAAACTTGAAAAAATATTTAAAACTAACCAATAATTGTTTCGTCGTATTAAAATTTTGTAGATATATTTTTTTTATTCTATCAGCAGCGTTTGTAATATCATGGAAACGTCGATTTATCTCTGCGGATATTTAATACATGATTATTGTGCCGTAGAGCAACAGTTCACAACACTGTCATCATCCTGTTTGGAGCGATTTTCCGATCAGGATCGTGGCTCTCTCCGCCCATGCCCAAAATCAAGCCCGTTCCATGATTCTGTTAATCTTTCTCATTCAATTGGTTCTCTGTGTTGCAGAAAATTCATTGAATGAGGTCACGGATGCCATAATTTTGCAGAAGAAGGGCGGAGGAGAGCAGAGGGAATTCGATTACTTCAAATTGGCCCTGCAATGGCCCGGTACCATGTGTAGGGGCATTCGCCACTGTTGTTCCTCCAACGGTTGCTGTGATGGGTGATTGACCCCTTTTACCTTCGTTTTGATCTTTTTATTTAATTGATTGTTCCTTTCAGTTGATGATTTTGTTTGCTTGACGCAAAAAAAGTTACAGAACGTAGTTCGTGTATTTTGGTTGAGTATTACGCATCACTCATCAGTTATTAGGTCATTCTCTCTTCCGTCTTCTCTGGGCTCAATTATTGGGACAATTTTAATGTCTGATAGGGGATAAAATGGAAATAAGGATAACCATGCTGTTTGCTGATTTCCTTACATCATATCACCACGAAACATATACACATCGAAGACTTATTTTCAGCAGTGTTACGAATCACTTTGAAGAATTTTGGACTCTTTATAGATTGTTCTTCAGTTTAACTTCCTGTCTAAAGCCCTTACAGCTCTGGGGAATTTTGTTTTTTTGTTCTCCCCTTATTTGCAAAAAACAATGAACTTCATTGATACTAATAAGAAATGTAGATTGCGAATCCACTAAAGTTAACCCGTAGGATTACAAAAAAAAAGAACCTTTCAACTTGTAGAGGTAGCCATTGGGGAGGGAATAGTGAAATTTGTATCCAAAGAACGCTAGCAAGAGGAGGCCTCAAAAAATAGTTCCCAGAAGATAAGAAAAAGAGAAAACTCCTACTGTTCCCTACTAAAATTCTCCTATTCTTTTTCTAATTGTACACCCAATGGATAGCTTTACCAAATTACTCTACAAGACTTAGAATTTCTTCTTAAAAAGTTCACAAAATTGAACAGAAACCTTTCAAGGAGTAGCAGGTATTGCAATTTTGATGTCCAAGCTATCCTGCAGCCATGACCAGCACCCTTTTCTTCTTTTTTTTTTATTTTTTATTTTTTTTATTTGTCTGTGAGTGTTCGGACCAGCTTGCGCACACCTCGACTAATCTCACGTGACAATCGCCTGACTTTACTACATAATAACTCGTAGTTCTGCTTCCTGTGCATATAGCACCACCATGGACTAATGCTGACTGAGGAGATCTTAGTGGTTCTTAAATCCTTTTCCACCAAGACCCACATGGACAATTACTAATTTGTTCTGTTTATGAACTGGTAGTACCTCCACTGGTAAGGTGCAGTCATCGAGAAAAAGACAACTGCAGAGAAGGGCTGGAAGGTTCAAATTGATGTATAAGAGGAGACCAAATATGAGTGGTCCTACAAAAAAAATGCGCTTCCAAATCTCTCCAATCAATTCTGTAAAATATACTATCCGAACCAGCTAAATTGTGATATGTATAATAAACAAGACTATTTCAGCTATCGTAATAGTACATCCCTTGTGGAAAGGTTAAAAAAAGTGAAAAATGTCAGTTTTTTAAACTGCTCACAAAATCTGGTGTAACTTGGGTTCCTTTCATAGTCGGTTTTAGCCTTTTAGGGATTGGCTAGTTACCCATCTAATGACTTTGGCACGGGATCTTCAACCATAATAGATGGAAAGAAACAAAAGACATCTTTGAAGATAAGTGCCCCCCGCCCTGGTAATTGGAACACAACATCCCTCATTTCTAAAGGAGGTTTAGGCGTGGGGAATCTTAAAGCAAAAACCAAGGCCATGTTAACGAAGTAGTGCTGGAGGTATATGAATGAGAAGAATGTTTTCTGGAGGGTCATTGTTGCAAGCAAATACAACCCTTCAGATAAGGGTTGGATCCCTTTACCAAAAGTTATACACAGATTTAAGGGGCTGTGGGTGCAGATAGTGAATTGTTGTAAAAATGCTGACAAGTGGGAAGTTGGAAGAGGGGATAAGGTTATGTTTTGGCATGAGCATTAGCTATTAAATGAATCCCTCAAATCTGCTTATCCTAGGCTCTATAGGTGACAAATTTAAAAGATTCCCTTGTTTTAATGCTGGTTAGTTTCCTCTTCCTGCTGGCCCAAATTTAGAAGGAACTTCACTGATTTGAAGACTGAGGAGTGGTCTTCTCTCCTTGGCCTTCTCATGAACATCATCCTAAGAAACATGGATGGCAGTAAAAAATGGACCCTTGAAAAAGGTGGGGCTTATTCTGTTAGATATATGGCCCAAAAGTTAGAGTGATAAGTATAAAGGTATTAGCAGCTCGTTTGTTAACATGATTTGGAAATCTGAAGTCTTGAAGAAGGTAAAAGTCTTTCTGTGGATTTTTGCTTTGGAGAAGCTAAACAACTACAACAGATTATATAGAAGAATTCCAAACTGATCCTTGTCTCCTAGTTGGTGCATGCTATGCAAAAGGGGTGCAGAATTCAGTGAGCACCTTGTATTCTTTTGTTCGTATGCTGCTGCTACTTGTTGCTATACTCTTCTCAGATGCTTCAATCTTTCTTGGGTTTTTCCTATTAACAGTTCTGATGGCTTGCTTTTGCTTTAGCTTATTTTGTGGAACCTTCTTGGTGGTCGGGCCAGAATACTCTGGTTTAATGCGATGGTGGCCCTTCTTTGGAAATTAAGGGTTTGAAAGGAATAATAGGAATTTTCAAGGGAAATAAATGCCTAGCCAATATTTCCGGGATTTAGTCAAGTTTTACTCTTCTACTTGGTGTTCCCTCTATAATGAGTTTTGATAGACCCCATTTTAGGAACGTCCAGTGCCAAAGTCACTGAATGGGTAATGTTATTCCTGTTTTTTTGTAGTTTTACGCCAATAGGAGCTTTTTTGTACTCCCCTTGGCTTTTTGGGATATCTCATCTCCTATTTTGACATCCCGGTTGGTTAAAGTATACTTTTTGTTTCTTATCCCGAAAATACGGGAGTCAGATATTACATGTTCTAAGGAGAAGTTTCTTGTTCATTGTTAGAGTAGATGTAAACTTGCTTAGATTTCACGTACTTCTGCGATTTCTTATATTTGATGATGTTCCTTTTTGCAACATCTATTATATTTTGAAGACTTCTCCTCCAGGACAGATGATGGAGTTTTGAATTTTTTGTGTTGTTAATGAGTTTAATGATAGAAAAGAGATGCCTAGTGGCAGAAACTACTCCTAAATTGAAACAGTTCTCTACCAATACCATATATGCCTTCCTTAAATTGACAGAGACTACTGCTAAATTGGAAGCCCCGTTAATTAAGTTGATTAGGGATTTTATCTACCCAAAGTAGGTCAAAGTCTTCTAGTGGAGTCTTGCTTATAGGGCCCAAACACTCATGATAAGCTTCAGAAGAAGCTAACTAATTGGTCTATGTCCCCTTCAGTGTGCTGCCTTTGTCTCATGAATGATGAAAATATTGAACACATCTTCGTGCATTTCCCTTTTGCTCCCAAGAGCTAGTCCTTTTTGATGAGAGAATTGGCTAATGTCTTCTTGCTTGACTAAACTAGTTGGTGATTAGTTACTCGAAGTGCTCTAGGATGGGTGGTGTATTAAAGGAAAGGCAAAAGTTTTGTGGAGTTGTGCTGCAAGAGCTCTTGTTTGGTGCTTATGGAAGGAGAGAAAGCAGCCTTTTGATATTTTTTTTGTAATAGTGTTCAAATTACTTTTTATATGTGGTGCTTCAATCGTAGAAAATTCTTTTGTAATTACAATCAGCAATAATTACACAAGATTGAAAAGATATACTACACTAGTTCTTTTGGGAGGGGGCTTCCTCATCCCTAGGCTGTTTTTCCTATGTTCATACAATTACTTTCTTATAAAAAAAATGGAAAAGGAGATGCCTAGTGCCTAATCAAATTGGTTGGGTTGTAAGGAACAAGGTTCACCTCAGTTAATTTGGATATCTTGCTCACTGCTCAGTTTCTATATTAATTAGATTTCTGCTGGTTCCATTTTCCGGGTTGCTAATTGTTTGGAAGGCTATCAAATATATTTAAGTTGTAGTAGGCATCCCACATTCTTTTGTAGATTTGAATTTGTGCATCTTTTGAATTTTGTGGATGTTCTTTTACACTGTTGACTAAAACTTACATCCAATTTTTTCTTCCTTGCTAGATGTGGTGCTGTTGGTGTCTTTACAATTCGTAAGTTGAAGCTACAATTGCTTTGCTTTGGCATAGACAACATGACAACACAAACATAGAGATACATCATTTTCTATAAAACTAGAATACATATATGACAATGATACCCCATGATGGCCACCTACCTTAGGAATTAGAAATTCCTATGATAAATATGAAATGTTTCAAGAAGTTGAAGGCATATGATGCAATGCCCTTCAACAAGAGATTTTAAAAACTTTGTAACCAAATAGACAATTTTGTAAATGATTCAATATTTTATAAATAATAGTAAAAAAAAAAAAATTGAGATTAGTATGTTTATACAATTATATGCTTACAGCTTAAAAATAGTTTGATGTTGTTAAACCTCAAAATTTTTTGTCAGTTAATTTTTTAAACAAAAATAAATATACAAAAGATTCAACATTTTAGTTAAAAAGTCTAATAATGGCCCAATAAATGTACCATAGGCGTTTGTTACAGGTCAAAAATGTTCAGCAAGTGTCTGACATGTATCTAATTTGTTCAAGTGTCCAACACATATCTAATATGTTAACGTGTCCAAAAAATGTAGAAGTATTGCAGTGTCCCATAGATGTATGGGTTAACGAACTATAGTATCCTTGGCTCATAGATTCCAAATCTTGTTTGGTCTTGATTTTTACTGCCAATTAGGTTCCATTGTTTTTATTTTTTATTTTAGAGGGATTAATTCTTGAGATTGTAGATGATAAATAGGGCATATAAATATCATATATCAAGTTCCTAAGAATAATTTGTAGCGAACTGTTAGTTTGTTTGAGGATCTTTATGATGAGAGTAAGGTGTTGCTTTCGTATGATGATACACTGAATTATGGTTTCTTGGTTGCATGATAGATGGATTGTGGCCCGATTATAATGATGGATCCTGGCCTTCATGTTGCACTGGAAAGAATTTTGATGAGAAGGAGGTATGCCTTTTTATTAAATATAGGCCGTTGATATTCATGAAAAATGATCCAGAGATCAAAGTTTTTAGTGCTATTATTGTTATTATTCTTAAGGATATATGGCAAGAAATTTGTATTTGTAAGAATTTTTAATGCTGAGGCACCTCGATGCTTTCCAAGATTACTTTAAGAACTACTATGATTTCTATCTCATTGTGCTAACATATTTTTTTCTGAAATTAATCAATGAAAATCTCGTTTCTTGTTCAAAAAACAAAAAAAAAAAAAAAAACAAAACAAAAAAGGAGAAAAATCCCATGTTGAGGGAGGCTACAAAAAGCTCCTCCAATTGGCCAAAAGAGAAGATAAGCTGAAGCCATGAAAGAAAAATGAATTTTTACACCAAGTGAGAGCCAAAAAGGATATGTTGTCTATAATACTATCAAAAGATTTTCCTTTGGCTTTGGCCTTGAAGATATGGTTGTTTCTTTCTGTCCATGTAGCCAACAGGAAGGCTCCAATAAAAGTTGACCTGCATAAGCTTCTTTTCTCTTTTAAATGGATGACTGGCTAAGAAGCACGAATACTTCATTTTGGGTAACGTGTTCGTGTTGACACTCCGATACTTAACAGACACGTATCAAACACTTGTTAGCTTAAATAGATGTGTGTCACACGCTAGTTGTATAGAGTAAAAATAGATTCGAAACTATAAAGGAGATGGAAAGATGTAGCAAGGGTGTCACTACTGTTCCAAAGATCTTTCCAAAAAAGAGTTTTCACATAGCTGTCTACTTTACAAAAGCATCTATTGTAGATGAGGTCACGATTAGGCATGATATACCTCCATGACCCATGAGTGAGTTTAATGATTTGGTACCCAGCTTGAAGCCCATGTGGATGGTTCCACGTTGGCAGCTATGATCTTTCCCCATAGGGCATCCTTTTCATTGTATAATTTCCTTCCTTAGTTTCAATCCATAGATCCCAAGGCCCACTTCTTGAATGGGAAGCTTTACCTTATCCCATTTTAGATGGTGCATACCATCATTTTCACTGTTGCCAGAGGAATTTTCTAAAAATCCTTTCATTCTGCATTATGAATATTTTCACTATCCAGGAGATTTGACGCCAAGGGAGGATAAAAGATTGTTCCAAAGGTCAACAGAGTTACAAACTATTGGTTTGAATATTAAAATGTATATAATCGTCCTGTAGCTGCATTATGCTAGGATTTTGGTCTTGTTCCAAAAGCTTGAACCAAGAAACCCCTAGATCTTATGGGGAAAACGTTATACAAGTTAAAGAGCTGAAACAAAACACTTTGAGCCCAATTTTCATATGTTACTGTTGGTTTTACTTTGATCCTTGTGCCATTTACTTTGTTCTTGCAAGAGATGCAATGTTCAGCATAAGTCATTCTTGTGACATCCTGCATCATTTAATCTTGCAGATTCGTACTTTGAATTTTCCCCTGAAGAAATATTGGCCAACTTTCAGTTGTAGTTCACCTTCAACTTGCCATGGTACAAAGGGATCATTTTGGGCTCATGAGGTGACAATCACTAATACTAGATAATACTTGGTTTAAAATTTCACTGACGTCACCCAAGTTTAAACTGATGATTTTTTTCTTTTCTTTTTGTTCCTATGATGGCTGAACTGGCTGCTGCATTTGGCAGTGGGGTAATGATCCTTGGCTTCTCTCACTTAGATACTATTATTTATGTTCTATAATACATTAGTCATAGGCGTTCCCTTCTTTTATTGAATTTTTCTGATTGGCATTGGATAGATTCTACACTGTTCTTATGCACTTTCTACTCTAAAATAATATTTCATGATAGACAAATATCTTCATTTCTAGAGGCGTGCGTCGTTGCCATATATGTTTTATGCCATGCATAATGATTTCCTCATAAAAGTGCATTGTTCTATCATATACCTTAGGCCAATGTTAGTCATCTTTGATGGTTGATTTTGTTATCTACGTAGAGTTTATCCTTGATTGGATGGGACAACAAATATCTTTTGGTAGTTTACCACATTTTAAGACATGAGAAATAATTTGATACGTTCTTATGTCAATTTTTGAAGCAAATCATATTTAATGTTCTTCCCATGCTTTGGTTTTTTCATATCATATTTTTATTACATGCAGAGAAGCATGGAACTTGTTCTAATCCAGTAGTTCGTGATGAATACGATTACTTTTTGACAACGCTCAACCTCTATTTCAAATATAATGTCTCTGTAAGTTTTTGAATGATGATACACTTATACATTAGCTCTAAAATCAATAGTTCAGACTAGGCTGGGTGCCCCTAACAGGAGTAAAATTTAAAATAAAAATGGAGTATGCTATTGTTGATTTTGTTTCTTCTCTGATTAGCGTTACCAATGGTTTTCCTATTATCATTTGCAGATTAGTTTTACATTTATCAGGCTTTATACAACTTAAATTTTCTAGCATGTTTAAGCTGTGGTACTTGCTATTTAATGGTTAATGGGTTGTTACATTGCAGTGGATGATCTTAAGAATTTTTTTTTGGAACATGAAACAAAGTGAATAATCTTAAGAATTGAGAATAACCACATAAGTTTGTGCGATTTTCTAGGCAATCAGGACTTTGTAGAACTAAAATTTGGGGTTATAGGATACTTACTAGCAAAGTATTTGACCAATGAAAAATATCCATGGAAATTGAAACAATTAGATTGCTGTTTCATCAGTCATTAAAATTTTGTTGGCTAATTAGTGGTTAATGCTTTAAACCACTCGAAAAATACTGATGGAGCATTTGGTTTTTCAGACGAACTTGATTTCTTGATAATTTTAAGGTTAGTAAAAGGTCATTTGAGAGAATATTGAAACCCAGCAGTATCTTGTTTGTGTTTCACTCCTCATTTTAGCTTTATTTATTTGGTCTAACTAATAAATCTGTCACACCTTCAATAAATCTCGACCTTTTCAAGGAATTTTAAAGTTTGCAAACCTAAGCTTTTAGGCTACTAAATTCTCTGAGGTGAGATGAGGGTTGGGGAGAGTCGCTCTCTAGTGGTGAAAGTGTAGAGTGGGCAATTTGTGTTCGATAGGAAAGACAAAGGGAGAAGTGTCATCATCGAGGAGGTATGCAAAGAGAAGGTTTCTAAGATAAAATTTCAGTTAGGCACACTAGCTTGGGTTCAAAACTGATGTTCCTTCCTCTTACCTTGGTCTACCTGTTGGGGGAAACTACAAAGCTACTGCCCTGTGGTGGTCTATGGTGGAAAAGTTGAAGCAAAAGCTTGATAAATGACACAATCTCATTCTTTCAAAAGGAGGCAGGTTGACGTTAGCCCAATCGGTTTTGAACAACATGCCCATATATTGTTTATCGCTTTTGAAAGCTCCTATTGGAATTGCTAAAGACCTTGACAAGCTCGTGAGAGACTTTTTCTGGAAAACAGACAGATAGAACCCACAGAAACTTGTTAAATTGGGATACTACTTCCCTGCCCTTGAATAAGGGAGGTCTTGGCATTGGGGTTTTTCACCTACGAAATAATGTGTTGCTTTAGAAATGACTGTGGAGGTTCACTCAAGAGGAAGGTGCCCTGTGGAGAAGAGTAATTGAAAGAATTTATATGGGATTGAGCCACACGGGTGGATGTCCAAAAAGCCCAAAGGAAAAGCGGCCGGCAAGCCTTGGTTTGAAATAGCAAAGAACAGCATCATTTTCTTCAAGTTTCTGTCCTTCAAAGTAAAACATGGTGATAGAGTTCGCTTTTGGTTGTACAGATGGACGGGGAATTCCACTCTTGTCCAAGACTTTCTTGAAATTTGTGCTTTACCTTTGAAGGAAGCCACAGTTTCTGACTCTCGGAAAGATAAGCAGCTCGCATGGGATCTAGGCCTAAGGAGGGGGCTGCTTGACAAAGAAGTAGGGGGCTGGGTTGATCTTATAAGTAGGTTGGACACCACTCGGATTGGAGTGGGAGCTAACAAAGTGGTTTGGTCTCTAGATTCCTCTGGTGTTTATACAGCAAAATCGGGTTTAAAAATCCTGTTTTAATACACTTCACACTTGAACTCGCCATTAATCTCTCCTATGGAAATATTCAATTCCTAAAAAAGTTAAAGTCTTCCTCTGGACCTTAGCCAACAGGGCAGTAAACACAGCAGAAAGACTTCAGAGAAGATGTCCAAATTGGGCTCTTTCCCCTTCTGTTTGTGTTCTTTGCAAATATAATGAGGAAACTATGGATCACATCTTCCTTCACTTCCAGTTTGCTTTGTGAGGTTGGACCTTTCTTCTACAAATTTTCGGATACTCCAACTACTTGCCTCAGAATATCGGAGGGTGGATGAATGAAGCTCTGCGGGGGTGGCACTTGAAAGGGAAAGCTAAAATTCTATGGAATTGTGCGGCTAGAGCCCTCATATGGAATCTTTGGATGAAAATAAACAATAGAATCTTTGAGGATAAGTCTTCTTCTTTTGAAATTTTTTGTAATACAGTTCAATTACACACTTCTTGGTGGTGTTATAGGCGTAGAAAATTCTTCTGTAACTATGACCCCTCATCAATTATGCAAGATTGGAGAGCTATCCTTCACTAGTTTTTGGGAGGGGGAGCCCTCTTCCCCGTACCCTTAGGTTGTTTTTTGTCTCTACTTTTGTCTATAAAAAGTTTCTTATCCAAAAAGAAAAAAAGGAAAACTGATGTTCCTTCCTAGTTGATAGACCAAGGGTTGGGAGGTTCTTTTGAAGTAGGTGGTTGCATGAGCCTTGGTTTGGGTTCAACTGGTCTCTAACCCAGAGGAATATGTTGCATCATTGCTTTGCCCTTCAAAGGAAGAAAACCATCCTTGTTATCCTCGAAGAAAAGGTGGCTATATGGTTGGAAGATCTTTACCCATAAGTTGTCTGCTATATTGTTAGGTAATTCCTTTGTTCCTAGGGTTCCTACGAAAGTGCCGGAAGAAGCTCCTCAAATGGGCTGCTTGGCTAAAGGAAATGAGATGTTGGACGAGGAGATTGACTTGGCTTTCGAGGTTAGAAGTGTGCTAGTTGTCAGGAGAGAGCAAAATACTCTTGGATGAGTGTGGGAAGGGATGTGTCGTTTGTCAAGGGAGTTTGAAGGTTCATCCCTTTTATGGAAATACGACCACAATATTCTGTGAGGATCCTGAGGCCCATTCGAAGGTGTTAGATTTTGGAAGAGGGATTCTTTAGGGGGTGTGTCATGTGTCTATCTAATTGGGAGCAAGAAGGGGATGGTGGAAGGTAGGGTCTTGGTGTTCTCAAGAGGATCAATTAAAGTGGAGGACATCCCTCCTCATCTCTGATTAGTAAGTTTGATGCGTAACTTGGCAAAGCTATGTGATAGGGTTGTTGAAGGCAAGGATTGCACTTGGCTTGGCCAATGGGAAGGAGCTTGGTTCAAAACTGAAGGAAGAGAAAATGGTTACATCCCTCGGGAGTGCTTTATAAACATTGAAGACGTAGAATTTTTGGTTAGGTTTGTATTGTCAGAGGTTGTAAGAGATCTTGTTGACAAAAGAGCAGAGCTCCGGGTGTGTCTTGGGGAGTTGACGAGAAAGGGTCAGAACCCTAGCAAGTTGCAGGGGAAAAGGATGGTTGATATGGCTGACTCTCAACCCAAAATTATGAAGCATGGAAAAGGAAAAATTCAAATGGTGTGTCGATTACCCTTAGTTTTTTACAGACTAATTTTACGAATGGGTTGAGATAGGAAAAAGGGGTGTGAAGTTAGTGGGCCTTCTTTGTTGTTGGGTCAAGAAGAGGAATTAGGGTTGAAAGTTTTGAGAATTAAGAAGCCAAGCGGTGGTGAGGTAGGTCGGAATATGAATAAAGACAGGGTTTCTTCTGATGATTAGGCTGAGCCAAGCAACGTTTGATGTAACTTTGCTGAGGGCCCAAGTTGGTTTAACTCTAATTGGTCTTTCCAAGATGATCGATTTTTCCAAGTAGAAGGACAAAAGCTCATCATTGGTTTACGTCAGGAAACCGCCGTCTATGATGATTCAATGCCTGATTCGTTAATCGTGAGCTTTTTTTACGATGACTCCTTCCTTTC